TAAGTAACAGAGACTCTGCACAACACAGCATACTAATGCTCCTCACTCTGTCCCTCTCCCTGGGTGTGGGTAACTCATCAGGTGTCTGTCTTTACACTCGCGTAGATGTCACAGAAAATAAAACAGAAAGAGCAGATCAAGTGGACTGTTTTGATGAAGTACTGGTAGTTCTCCAGCACTGCAGAGTCATTAGGTTGTGTGAAATAATATGGGAACTTAGTATCAGGAGAGTTGACTGAGATGGGACACTGGAAGTCAGGACACATGATTGATATTTGGCTGCAAACAAGAACTGCTAGGAAAAAAAGTACTTTCCCCAAAGCTGTGTAAGCTTTTTTGGCAATGTCCTCCTCTGTGTAATACAAGAACAATGAAGCAAGCCCAATCCGAAACACTTTCCCAAGGACCAAACCCAAAGATGTGTCTAGCACCACCAAACCTTTGGAGGCCCTACACAGCCTTTGGTGTGGGAGTGCCTTACCAGGACTGCCCTAGAGCGTGGCTAAGTGACCTCACAGACATGGTCATGATCGAGGACAAACGACAACATTCCGTTGTGAGCTCTGTGTGGATTTGTGTGAATTATTTATTACAGAGCAAATACCAAAGAGCTCAGACAAAAAGCTGAGGGTAAGGCAGAAATCTGTATTAACCAATGAAAGACCGTGCTGCTATTTGTGCTGTGCCCCTTCTGCTAGGACTGCAAGAGAAGTGCAATCATCTGATGATGAAGAAGTTTGGCCGGCTTGTTGATTTTGAAGCAGTTCAAGCACACTCTGTTAACATACGCGTGGAAGAGTTGGAAGTGCAAATAATGGAGAAAGAATACTTGCACTCCCTGGAGCTCAAAGAGTGGGAGGTAAGGAGTGGGAGAAGGTGCAGGGCATGTGTGTTAGGATGATCCGTTAAGGCTTCATTTGCCTGGGGCTGAATAGCTACACTAAAATCTTCTGTGTTTGTTTTTTTTTCCCACCTGTCATTAATAGACCATAATGGCCCACTCCGGTTTGCCATCATCATTCCTACCTCTGCTCCTGTTGCTGCTGCACATCCTATTTTCTCACAGAGGTAGTTGACAACCTTTTTGTTTTACTTTCCTCACATGCATCCTTCTGCTTCAGTCCCTATGTGGAGCTCTTCCAGAGTGCTTTCCTTTGGTTTTCAGCTGGCACTCAGCACCAACTGCCTCCTGCCACCGCCTTTGGTGACAAACTGTTTGAGTACAGGGCAGCCCTTGCTCATGCCCAGGATCTGTGCAGTCTGGAAAGCGCATGTCTCTGTCTGGGGGTGGGGGCTAAGGCTCAGCCACTGTGGTGCAGGCAGGCACCACTCTTATGCTGCTTACAGAACACTGTCCTTGGCTGTCCTTTTAAATACATGGAGAGAGAATAATTGGAAACCAGTCAGGGAATAAATCTCTCTTTGAGTAAGGATCATGCCTCTTGTTTTAAACTGACTTAGTTTTCCTGCCCCCAAGCAGCAAAACATCAGCACCACCGTTATACATCTATCTCATATCTTCCATGATTTCTACGTTTTCCTGTTGACACCATGTTCTGGACTTAGCCTTGCTGGTGGGTATTCACTGCACCTTAGGGAAGCGAGTCTGGTGTCCTTCAACACAGCGCACATACCTCTAGATCTGGCTCAAGACTTTTCTAACTGATGTCAGCAAGGACACAAGTAGGTTTGAAATGAACTGTCCTGGCCCCTCCTTGCATATTTGTGCAGCACAACACATTGCCAGGAAAGCAGAGTGTTCAAGTAGATTTGCAGTTCCTTGCTCTCCTGTGTTTGTAGGTAGGCAAAGAACCCCTATCCTCTCTCTGGATGTGGATTTGAGAGTCAAAGCTCAAAGTGGAAACTCACAGCCCCAGCTTTCTCTGTTCCTCTCCTATGCTGGCTTGTGGCAGGTGTAGGAACCAGCTTAATATGCAGCACCCATACAGCAGTATTATGTACCTAAGGGTTTTCTCTTTCCCACAGTTTTTTTTTTTTAATAAAATTTAAAAAAAAGAGAAAAAGATAGTGCTAAAGGCACTGCGGGATCAGGTGGGGTATGCAGGATCAGGCTGTTGTTTACCTCTCCTGTGGCACTTGTGTTGTGCCTAGCACTGCTTCCCCGCTTCACGCTTTTTGTCCTCTCTCATCCCAGCTCAACCTTTGATGTCTTTCTAGGAAAGAATCTTAGAGCTGCAGCAGCAGCTAATGAAGCTGACAAAGGAAAACACCGGCAAGCTGCA